GGGCTTGGAGCAACCTGGGCTAGTGGAAGGTGTCCCTGCCCATGGCAGACCTTTAAAGGTCCCTTCAAACTCAAACTGTTCCATGATTCTCTGACTAAAGATGCCTTTGAAAAGAAAAGAAATTAAAATATTTGGCTCCCACATAGGCCTGGGACATTAAGTACAGCAATATTTCTGCATTTTTCTCTTTATGAACAATACATTGCCTTTGATCTCTTTCACTGTGGTAATGGGACAAATTTAGAGCTTTATTTTTTTTTGTGTTCTAGGGCAGAGATGCCCTCTGCATCCTCTAGATAAGTGGCAGGGTGGGAAACAAGGCAGATATGTTTAGTCTTTTCTGCCAAGAGTTTGTCCTTGACTGAGAAAACTCCCTCCCAGCTGCATTAATGACTTGTGACTCTTCACTTCCAGTGCCTGAAGACATACACAGGACACAAAAATGAGAAGTACTGCATATTTGCCAATTTCTCTGTTACTGGTGGAAAGGTTGGTGGTGATTTGTTTCTTTATTTTTACCAGTGTGCCATTTTTACTGCTCTTCTCTGTAGATGAAACAAGTTTGGGGCTGGAAACCTCCTTTGGGGGGTGCTGGTTCACAGGTATCTGTGTCTCTAGGTGGGCCCTCTCTCCCATTGCAGGCTCCCTGACTTTTCCTCTTTTTCCCTTCCATATGATGACAATGAAATGTTTATTGTTACAGATCAGAAAGATTAAACTAACTGTGTTTTCTCTCTGCCCCTCCAGTGGATCGTGTCTGGGTCAGAAGACAACCTGGTTTATATTTGGAACCTTCAGACAAAAGAGATTGTACAGAAATTACAAGGACACACAGGTGTGGAAGGGGATTTTGTGTTTATTGATGGGATGTCCCTCATGTCAGCCTCTAATGAGGGCTTAGCTTGAGCATTTTCTCTCTGATGTTTAGTTTTGACTGTCAGACCCATAAATTTTTGACTGGCTGAAGCTTAATTGAACCCTGGGAGTTTGCTCCTTTTTATGAAGGGGTTTTATGGGCATTGAAAATGTTTTATTCTTTCACTGTGAGAACTTTGACATCAGCTTGCAAAAGAGATTTCCTTGAGGACAGACCTGGTCAAGATATTTAAGTGACTCGTAATGTTAGTGGCTTTGAATTGCCTGTTAACACCTTCCAGAGCTGCAGCTGTCAAGGATAAGGGCTGATGTGGACTGTAAATGTCTGTACTTTTCAGACAGACAGACTCTGCCTGGTCTTGAAGGCAGAGGTGAGATGTCACCTGATGGAGACCTAAGTCTGAGTCTTAAGAAAGAGCAGAGTTTTAACTGCACCAACTAAAAGAGGCTGTGCTGTGGCATCTCAGCGTGCTCAGTCCTTTGCTTTGGGCTGTGTTCCATTGTGTTTGGGCTGTATTCCATTGGTTTAGACTGTAAGTGGGGGCAGTGGCAGCAGGTTTTCATGTTCAGGCCTGTGCAAGGCTCTGAAGTGCTACCTGAGCATTGACTGGCACGTTGGAAATACTTTACATGACAAGAAAAGACTGACCTGGGTTTTGATGAGCTGTGTGAGACATAAGATATAAGCAGGGACTAGAATCTAAAGAGTTCTTACGTTTTGAAACCTGTCAGACACTTTCCAACTACTGCTCTTAATTCTTTCTTACTTGTACTTTCTCTCACAGAGGAGCAAGAGTTGTAAAATATTTACAAATAATGTGTTGAATTCTGCTACAAGGAAATAATAACCTGGCTTTGCTGCTTTAATAATAACTTGGCTTTGCTGTTTTAAAAACACAGTAGCAACACATGTTAATTTTCAGAAGTGCCTGCCACGATCCAGGCTTTGTTGCTGCAAATAACTGTGGTTTTATATCTTTTTCTTTCTTGCTTAGATGTTGTCATCTCGACAGCCTGTCACCCAACAGAAAACATCATCGCGTCAGCGGCACTAGAAAACGACAAAACAATTAAACTGTGGAAGAGTGACTGTTAAACGTTCCAGGATTGCTTTAGAGACTGTCAGGAAA